AGAGAAACTCTTCTGCCCTTGAGAAAGAAGTAGAAGCGCCCGTGTTGGGGGAGGGGGAGGGGGGGTGTCCCATATCCTCTCAGGTTAGCGTTAGGCCCTCGCGTGGAGGTAGCGCCCAGGGCCTCAGCACAGTGGAAGCCGAGGGGCATTGGGCCCGGGGGCTCTTCCGCAGCCTGCCATCGGGGCGGGAGCAGGACGCACAGCTCTGGGGCTGTCGTCGGGAAGGAGGCGAGCTGAGATGCTCTGTCTGACGCGAAAACACCGCACTCGCATAGGAGGCCCTCTCCCGCGGCCGCCCCGTCGGGCAGGGCCGACACCTCGGCCAGCATCTGCGCTGTCCCGGGCGAGCCCTTTGCCCCATAGAGAAAAGGCCTCGGGCAGGGCAGGGCGGCCGCTTCCGCGCCCGCGAAGTGGCGGTGGAGGAATGTGGGGACAATGCGCCATCTGTCACTGCCGGCCCGCGCGACGACCGGGAGCGCCGCCGAGGGCGCTGATTTATGCTGAATGCGCCTTAGAAGATCTCGGTGTAGACTTTGTCTTTCTCTGTCAGAGCCAAGTAGAAAGAAACAGCTGGCCTGAATTTTTAGCACCCATAATTAATTAAGAGCTTCATTCCTGGGATTTGATGATTCAATAAAGCAAGACCCTTATTCCCCTATGTGATTCCAGTGAATATCTACTCCACTCCAATCCTTTTGGGTCCCAAGACAGGGCAGATTAACACTCTTTTTCTGTGGGAGAGAGGGGAAAAAATGCCTCAAGATTGCATCTGAGGCGCACACAAAAGGTAAATTCAAAACTGCCACTTGTTCTCTGCAAAGGCTCCTTATTCTCCGCTATTGATGTATTTGTGCCAGGTTTTAAAGAAACCAGAGGGGGGGATGAGGAATTAACATATTGCTCATTTGGAAAAACAGCCGGTTCTGGTTTTGGTAACACTTGTTCCCTTGCCAGTCACAGATGTCCTTACTAATAACCTAGGCAGGTCACAGAAAGAGAGGGGGTGGGAGGGACGGCTCCCCGGGCACTGCGGGGCCGACCAGAGGCCGCGGCTCCTGCTGCTGGGGCCGGCGGGGCAGCGGGACAGGGCGCTCCGCACCGTTCCGCTCCGCACCGCTCCGCCGGCTTGGGACCGGCGCTGGATGCCATGCGGACCGGGCTGTGGGGCCGAGGTTTCCTTCCACCCCCCCCCCCCCTTTTCAATTTCTTAAAATTCATCTACGGTTTGGCTGAAGTTCCTGTACTTTTCCCTACTGCAAACCCCTGTGGTATTTTTCAGTCGCCTCCTTTAAACTTGCTAGCCGTGTGCTTCCCGTGTTCTCTTGGCGGAGGTGCTTTCAAGCAGTTTTTAGGCACGACGGGAGGAGATGCTGTTCTGATCCTCTTACCGGGCTGGAGAGGGGAGAAACCCAATAAGCCAATTAGGCGCGACCGCGCCATCCCTGCCGCCGCGGAGACTCCGCGCCACGCGGGAGCCCCGTAGGTTAATCGGGACATTGGAAAAGCAACACTAGCGGGGAGAGCAGCGGGGGGGATGTAAACACGGTCCTGGGTGTTGAGGGTCTAAATTAGTATTTGTTTTGTTTTTAAGCGTGAAAGAGGAAGCAGCAGGGCTGCGCCAGGCTCCCCGCCTCTCCCCCCGCCGTCTCCGCAATTGAGAAGCGGGGCTGAAGGTAGGGGGGGAGCCCGCCAGCCCCGCCAGAGCTCGGGGACTCTGCCGGCTGCCAATCGCACCCGCAGCTCTGTCCGTTTCTTTCTAGGACGGAGGAGAATTTACGGTGAATGGGACCATTGGCTGCAGCCCCCGGCTGTTGGCCCCGCGGTTGGCCAGCCGAGAGGGGGCACTTGGTGGCTTTCCCCGGGGAAGCCCCTTACCCTTCACAGGGAGAGCACGCTTGACTTGGACGGGCCCGGAGCAGGTTTTTCCGGCGGCAGCTGTGCTCTCCCCCCGACGGGCTGCAGCTTTCCCCAGAACCCTCTGTATGCCCCATCCCGGGTCCGGGTCCCTGATGAGCAGCTCCTGCGGGCCAGTCGGGCCAACACGCTTCACAGCCGCAGTTCACGGCGGGGTTTTGGAGTGGGACGTTGGACTGTCACCTGCGGGAGGGGCCGGCCGTGTGCCACCTGGGCAGCGAAACCCGCACCGTCGGGGCGGGCGGAAGAGAGGGTCACGGCTCCTCGGCTCATCAAGGGCCGTGCCGGGCAGCGTGGAGGAGGTAGAGAGGAGGGGCGGAAAGGGGTGAGCTGTTCCCGCGAACGCGGAGCGGCGCCACGCGGAGGCTGGACCTTTCCCATCTGCACCCGTGGGCAAGCACCTGCTCCCGGGAGCGCTGGTGGGACTCCAGCCGCAGGACCCTTCCGCCAGCTGCCTTTTCCCCATTGCCTTCCCCCCGACCGCTCCGCAGCGGTAACGAAGCCCTCCTGTTCCCAAACCTCCGCGGAAGCGGCAGCCCTGCGCCCGGCTCGGCGCCCAGGCGGCGGTTCGCTCCCGGCACGCAGCGTCGTCCTGGTCTCTCCGGAGACTGCTCCTGAGTAACCTGCGGTAGCTTTAATTGGCAGCAGACATTATTTTTATTTTAAGATATGCTCAAAACTTTTTTTTTTTAACAACATATTAACATGCTAGAGGCAAAAAAAAAAAAAAAAAAAAAAAAAAAAGGCAGACGTTGCCCCCTCCCCCCTCTCTGTTACTAAAAAAAACCAAAACAAAACAAAACAAAAACCTGGAAAAATCTTGTTTGTATTAAAGACAGGCTGTACAGCGTTATCTCCCATGGCAGCGGAAAAAGGTGAAGAATAAAATTCTTGTATGAAATCGATGGTGCTACAGTAATAGTTACGATATAAAAGAGGCGACAGCCTGCAACCTAAAGGAAAGGCTTAATTCCATCAGGAATTTATACATCAAACGAAAACCGTACTGAGATCGCTGATTCACATATTCAAAATAACCCCGATTATAAGGAATGGGGCTTTTGAACGAGTGAAGCTCCTAAGCTGCTTTGCCAAATAGCTTTTGCAGAGATGGAAGATCAGCTGGGAAAAGGTAGAGCGGCAATAAAAAAAAAAAATATATATATATATAAAAAAAATCCACAGCTAGATGAAAAATTAAACCCTATTTATTTCGAGGGGCCGTTCCGCAGCGGGACCTATTGTGCCCGGATGCGGTCCGGGGGGGCTTGGCTGGCCCTTGGGCCTCAGGGTGCCAGGACCTCCACCGAGTTTAGGGAGAGGCGATCCCGCCAGAAGCAGTGAACCAGGGAGCCGGGCTGTAGGCGACCCGGTGTCGCTCCCGGGGGCTGCTCCTGTCCCGGCCACGCCAACTTTCTTCCGTTATAAACAAGGCAGGGCACTCCAATACAGCTCCCCGTTGCGCTGAGAATAGCGCCTTCATGCAGGTCTTCCCGACTGAGAAGGAAAGATTCAACAGAGGAATTCGAGCGTTTTTTTAAAATTCATTTATAATTTATAAAGTGACAAAATAACATACTATTATTATCCCCAGTAATATTTGATTCTTTACACATTCAGCTTGAAACAATTTTGATTTTAAACCATATTGCCTACAAAGATCGTATAACGAAGTGAACACGAACTTCATCTTTAAAACATAAAATACAAACTACTATTTAAGATCCCCTAAAATGTAATTATGCATGAATAAACCCGTTACAGCTAATAAATGGCTCTGACAAAGTTGAAGAGATTACAAAATAATTATCTGTCTCGTAAAGAAAAAAACAAACAAACAAAATGAGGGGTGACGACACCATCCCCGGCGGTCCCGACCATCTCCTCATCACCTTCACGGCGGCGATGCGCTCGAGTACAACCGGCACCCACAAAATCCGATTTGAACGGGGAAAGTCCCGTCTCAAAGTTAGGTGCTGGAGCAGTTTCTCGCTGTTATTTGTTCGGGGGGGGTGCCCAGGCCGCTCGATCGCCGCGCCACCGGGACCGAACCTGGCGCCGAGGTTCGCGCTGGGCAGTCCAATGCTCCCTCTGGGCCCCACTCTGCCCCAGTCAGGCCGGGGAGCTGCGGAATCAGGGGGAGGGCGCCCGGGGCGCTGCCTGTCCCCGCGCACAGGGCACGTCTGGCAGCCGGGAGCGCCCCGGTGGCCCGTTCCCCTCCCCGGCGGCTGCCGCAGTCCGCTACCCGCCGTGGGCGCTGCGGAAAGCGCGGCGGCCCCGCGGGGCTCCCGCACCTGTGAGCGGGCGGCGGGAGTCAAACTCGGGCCGAGTGTGACACCTACCTGCCAGCGCCGAGAAGCACCGCGCCCGCGGCCAGGGCTGCGCGGCCGCGGATGGCTCCCCGGACCGCGCCGTCCCGTGGGCTGGGAGCAATGGTGCAAAACGGCGGGGGGCGGGGAGGTGGGGGAAGTGGCCGGGGCCAGGGAGTCCCCGCCGCACCTAGGGCCTTTGCCCGTGCAATCCCCGTCCCCGGCCACCGCACCTCAGCAGCAGCGATGCGGGCTAAATCTGGCAGAAAATCGAACTCATTAGCAAAGTTCACCAGCTGATTGCTTTGCATAAAACGCGACACTGATTGGAAGTAATTAGGTTAAAAGACGGGACTGCGCTTCGGGTTGATGTTTCTAACAAGTGCCTTTGTGCATGGCCCGATTGAAGCCTTCGTCTCCGGAAACGGCGTCCCTCCCGTCCCGGTGCCGCTGCTCCCCGTTTTCCTCTTAGAAAGCGTCAGTCCCTTTGAAAAAGGCTCAGGTGCTACTGTAAGGTCCTAAATGGATCCCCGCGACTCTTTACAGCTTGCGGGATTGCCGCAACCATGCACCTATCTGCCCGCTGCAAGAAAAGAGTGGGTTTGATTCTGTTAAAAATCTCTTTTAAGTATTTGCATTTTACAAAGGCGGCTGCAGTTTTTGTGTTTAAAGTGTATAACTTTTTTTTTTTTCTTTTTGCATTATAGCTTAGCTCACACCCAAGGAGAAAACAAAAAACAAACAAAAACCCAAACAAAAAAAGGCATAAAAATTAAATTAAACTTGTATATATATATTTTAAAACTATGAAACAATTCGGAAAAAGACACAGAAATGTATATATTTATATTACGAAAACAACATTAATGCCTGTACAGGTGTTTTGATTTCATAATTTACTTCAAAGATACTGTATTATCAATTTAAATAATAATAAAAAAAAAGCTACACTAAATATACAGAATAAGATTTAATACAAATCTTTCTTCTTTGTGTGTGTGAGAGAGCTTGTCACTCTCTTGCTTTTCACTTGGTTAAGACATTTCTGGGCAGCTTCCACCCAGCCATTTCCAATAGAATCTATAAACTTTTGGAGGGGTGCTGGGAGGAAGGGAAGGGGGGAGCTGGTCTTTTTCTGTTTGTTTTCTTTTGGTAGTGGAAAAATAACTGCCAAAGCAATTTATTATTTCTCTCAATAAATTAAAAAAAAAAAAAAAAAAGAAAAAGAAAAAAAGAACAAAACTGCAGTCCCAGGAGGGGGTAAGGAGGAGAAGCCGATATTAAATGTTGGACATACCTTTCTTCAGTTCGTAAGGTGAGTCTTTGCAAAGGTCTACCTGGGACTGGCTCCTGATCATTTTAGTGTCTTTAGCTAGGCTCTCGGCTCTGCTGAGGACAGTCTGGTTTAATCCATTAAAATGGGCGCCGGGGGCAGCAGCGGCGGGGCCGCCGGCAGAGTGCCCGTGCAGGGCCCCGAAGGAGCCGTAGTTCGTGTAACCGGGGTAGAAGGGAGCCGTGTAGTAAAGCGGCCGCGGCAGGACCGCCCCGTTGGGGAATGGGCACTGGGCTGCCGGCGAGCGCGGCCGCGGCGGAGAGCGCGAGGGGCCGCCGCCGCACAGCACAGCGGGGCCGGGGGGAACCGGCTCACCCCCATTCTCCTTCGCCTTGTCCGCCGAGGTGGCGATCTCGGCCAGGGACCAGAGCTTGGGCTTGGCGAGGGCCGCCTGCTGAGGCGAGTGGATGACGGAGGCGCTGGCGCCGGCGGGCAACAGCGGGTGGAGGTCAGCGGCGTGCGGCGGCCCGGTGGCGGCGGAGGGGGGGAGGTACGGAGGGGGTTCCTCGCCGCCCGCCGGTGGCGGCCCGCGACTCACCGGGCACGGCCCGAGTGGTGAAGCACCGGGCGCCTTGGAGTGGGCGGGCGGCCCGTCGAGCCGCTCCTCCGCCGGCTCTTTGCAATCTGAGTCGCTGAGGCCGCCCTCGGCCTCCCGAGGGCCGGGGGACTCCTGGAGGCGCTCGCAGCCCGGCGCTGCTTTGGTATCTGCCGCTCCTGAGTGGGGCAAAGGACAGGACTGGGGGGGCAGCTTTAGGGCTTTCCCTGTACCCCGAAACCCGCCCACCCACTTCGCCGTCCCCCACGACTATTCCCCGGCCCCACCACCGACAGTCCCGCAGCGCTGCCCCCAGCTCCCCTGCCTAGGGCTCCCGCTCGGAGGGTAAAGTCGTCCCACCGCTGCCCCTGGCTGGGGACAGACCCGAGGGAGCGGCCGCCGTGGCTCGGCCAAGCCCTCTGCCCTACCTGTGTCTGGCGTCCCTGGGTCCCCCTTGTCCTCTACTTTCTGGGGCTCGTCCTCGTCGTTCTTCTCCAGGTCGATATTCTCCTCTTCCTCCTCGTCCTCGCTGCGGTTCCGAGGGGTCCAGGTCATTTTGTTCTCCTTTTTGAGCCGCCGCCGTGCGTTGGCGAACCAGGTGGAGACCTGGGTGAGGGTCATTTTGGTGATGATGGCCAGCATGATCTTCTCGCCCTTGGTGGGGTAGGGGTTTTTCCGGTGCTCGTTGAGCCAGGCCTTGAGGGTGGCCGTGGCGTCCCGCGTCGCGTTCTTGCGGTACGCGGGATCCCCGTAAGGGTAGGAGCCAAGCGGCGCCGCGTACGGATGGTACCCCAGGGAGCCGGCCATGCCCGGCGTGTGGTCGTAGGGCGAGCCCTGGGGAGAAAGGGGAGAGCGGCCCGGAGGGGGTGAAGTCAGGCGGCAGCGGGGCGGCAATGACACTGCAAGGGCAGCGCTAGGGCCTGCCCTTAGCCCCCGTCCGCGCCCAGCCGCTTCTTCCCCGGCCTCTGGCCCTGCCTGGCTTCTCCCCCGGCTTTCCCGGGAGAACTGGCGGAAAGGCCGCGAGGCTCCGGTCCCATGAGGCCACCGGCCGCCAGCAGCGATCCAGCGCCTTTCTCCCAAATGCAGACACGGAAAAGCAAGTGGGCAGAGCGGCGTGGGGCGAACAACGGCGGGGGCACCCTTCCCTAAGGCGCTGCGATCGCGGAGGGGCAACCTGCCGGGCACAGGCGGCCGAGCCGGGCCGGGAGGCTTCTCTGCCAGGCCAGGGGCGGGAGGAGAAGAAAAATAAAGGGAAGAGGAGAAAAGAGAGGAGAAAAAGAAGGAAGAGCAGAAAAAGGAATGAAGATACTGTGAAACTCTGCCTACACCTTAAACCTAGTGGAGAAGCTGAGCAAAACTCCGGGGGTTTGAGGGAACCGTGGGGCACAGGCGGCGGCAACAGCTCTTGTTGCAGAGATGCCCCGGGCCGGCTCCGCAGGCGCGCACGGCGGCGCAGTGCCCTGCCTGCTCCTTCCCTTCCCCGCGCAGTGCCCGCGGAGCCGCTCGCGGCAGTGGGATTAGAGCTCTGCAATATATAAGCAGCCTAATTATCGCCGTGCAGGGGAAAGTTGCCTTGGTTTATCGCCCAGATTTCTCCCATCGCCGGCCACTGCTGGGTCCATTCCCTTTTAAACTGCAACAAGCTAATTGTTGCGGAAACACGATTGCTGTTTCATTTAAAATATATATATATATATTCCAATATTTTAATTTTGGGGGGGAGATGACGTGTGAAATGGGTCCCCGCAAGCCCCAGCCCGTCTTTCCCGGGCCGTGCCGGCGGCTGTGCGCAACAGTGTGCGGCGGCACAGGGCGGCGATGCGGGAAAGTTGAGCGCCAAGGCGGGGAGCCGTGCTCCCTTTTGTCCCCGGTATCTCAAAATAAAATCCCAACAAAAAGGAAGCCATGGGGAAGGGGGGTGCAGGCGCCCGCGGGATGCCGCCGTGCCCGGCGCGGTGCCGGCAGCCCGGAGCTGCTCTTACCACGTAGGAAGTGAAGGCGGCGGCGGCAGCAGCGGCCGGGTCGGTGCCGTACTGGAGGTGGGAGTTGTAACCCGGGGAAGGGGCGGTAAAGGCGGTAGATCCGGCATAAGGGGAAAAAGCGGAGCCCGAAGAAGATCTCCCAAGTTCATCGGTCCTGGGTCCGGAGATCACGCTGGTGCTGTACGCCGGGCAGGAGTAGAGAGCCAAGGACGCTGACGGCTGGTACAAGTAACCCTGAGGATACGACATGGCCAGGCGCACACATACACCCGGGAGCCCAAGCGCCGGGAGGGAACCGCCGCGCTGCCGGGCTGGAGCCGCTGTGACCGGGATTTCGCCGGCGCCTCTCCGCCCTCGACAGCTGGGCAGCGGCGGCACCTTGCTCTGCGCCGGGGCTGCCGCTCCGCGCTCGCCTGCAGCCCGGCACCGCTTCCTCCTTTTTCTCCCCCCACCCCCCGCTTCCCCCTCTCTCTTTTTTTTTTTTTTTTTTTCCTTTCCCCTCCCTCGCTAGCTCTCTCTCCCGCTTGCACTGGGGGGCTTTTTTTTTCTCCTTCCTCCTCGCTCTCGCTTTCCGAAGGGTCCTGCCAAGATGCTAAGTTGGAAATTGCAGCTCCTGACGCCTTCTGCGCGGCCCGGCGAGGCTCCTCCTTCGCGGGGTGTTGTCAGTGGAAGGACTGGCAGGACCCCGCTGGGCTGCGCGGCCGGGCCCAACCAGCGGGAGGGCTCCGCGCTTCCCTCGGCCCTCCCCGCGCTTGGAGGCTCAAGTGCGCCGGCTCCTGGTTTGCAGACACCGCCGAGCCGTTTGAGATCGGCTCCAACTTTCTGCATGTGCTAAATACCGTGCGGAGCCGCGCTGCGCCGGAATGCAAGCCAATCAGTATATGAAAAAAAAAGTAGATATTTAATAAGATTTATTAGCCGCCCGGCTCCCCCTCTGCGTAGCCACCCCTCCTCTTGCTCTCTGCCCCTTGCCCCTCCCTCCCCTAAATCACTGGAGGTGGAATAGATCGGGGTGTGTGAATGGTGGTGGTACTTTTTCTGAACAAAAAAAGGCTGTTTTCGGCAGGGAAGGGCAGCGCCGCAGCCGGTTTGGCAGTGCGGGGATGTGCGGCTGGACGGGCGGGGGCCGCCCGGGGCTACCGGACTTGTTGCGGCGGCTATGCAAGTGGAGCCGGGTCCGGCGAGAAGCGGCGGTTGGCTTCGCGGGGGGCTTGGGGAACCTCATGGAAGTAGTGGTTCCCAGAGTCGGTCCGGGAGCAGGGCAACCTGGACAGGGAGCGGCGGGACGGGTCTGCAGAAGTCGTTCGGCGGGCAGGGGAGGGTTGCCCGCGGATTCTAAGATACACCAGATATCTCCCCTCCCGGCCCGTGATGGGTCGTGGCGAAAGCAGATTAAAACCATATGAATCAGGATAAATCCCCGCTGATCAGGAGATGTAATCTCCTTTGATTCCACCAGATACATTTCCCTATAGGAACATATCCCCGGTTATTCCCTTCTCACTTGTTTCCACTCGCGGCTGAGGCAGAGCTCTGCTACCACGGCCGCTGACCGTATCCTCCGCCGGGTTCCGCGCCCCGACCACCTGGCACCCTGTCCCCGTCCGTGCCTTTCCCGGGAGACGGAGACGATTTAATTACATTTATGGTAGCAAATTTTTTAATCTTGTAACTTTCACGTCTCCCGGCCCTGAGTCCTCTCGACGCTGGACCCAGGGGAACGGACGCGGAGACGCTAGGAGCCGGGGCTGTTTTAAACGGGGAGGCCGGGGCAGAAGCTTCCCTGGTCGCCGAGGAGGTGGCACCGAAGCCGCTCCACCTCGTTCCCTCCCTCCTTCCTTCCCTCCTCCCTTCCTCCAGGGCTTCGTCCCGGCAGCTGCTGCCACAGTCCCGCTGCCGAACGGCGGGACACAGCTTGAACCTTCCCGAGCAGCCCCGCTGCAGGGCGGCAGGAGGTGGCGGGCGCAAGACGGGGCGGGCAGAGACTGATCTCCCCGGTGTCTCCGCAGAGGATCCCGGCAGCGGCGGTGCCGGGGCGGGGCGCGGCCCGCACTACACTCCCCATCAGCCCGTGGTCCTGGCCCCGCCCGTCCCGGTGCGTGACTGGCTATCCCGCCGCCTGCCGCGGTCCTCCCCTGCTTCCATTGGCCCGGGCAGATGTCCGTCAGCGCGGGGCGGGACGGGGTGTGAAGGGGCGGTGGCGGCCCGCGGCGCGGTTGCCGGGGAGTCCGGAGGCGGCGCTGGCAGGACGGCGAGTGGAGGCCCTGTGGGCCGAGGCCCAGGCCGGCTGCGGTCAGCTCCGCTCCGCTCCGCTCCGCCCCGCCCCGCTCCGCCCCGCCCGGGGCGGCTGCTGGTCGTTTCAGGTCGCGCAGGGCCGGGCCGGGCCCCCCGGCTAGGTGAGGAAGCGGCGTGGCGGGACGGCGGTGTCCGGCGGAGATGCGGAACCTGGCGGCGGCGCTGCCCTGCCGTGCTGGGGCGCCCCCTGCCGGGCGGGCCCCGCCGCTCCTCAGGCCCCAACGGGCAGCAGCTCCCGGGGCGCTGGCTGCGTGGAGCAGCTCTCGGTTCGGTCGCTGCCCAGGGTCGCTGTCCTCCTGAGCCGGAGGGCGCTGCCGCGTCGGGCCCCGCAGTAAGACGGAGATCGCGGGAGCAGCGTACAGTGAGGCGAGGTGGGTCTGGGCACCCTCCTCGGTGCGGCTGTCGAGCAGCGCTTTGCCTGTCATTTCCCTACTTTATCTAATTTCCCCGCGTTTTAATTTATCTTTATTTATGTTTCCTAATGTGGAAGCGTCGTTGTGCCGTTCCCTTAGCAGTCCCCGTGTCCCCGATGCCCAGACAGGCTCTGTCGGCGAATCCACGCTCCCTTACAAGCTCACTCCACACAGGTGTGCACTTCCACCAGTTTTCAGCGGACGGTGTCAGCGGTGTTTGTACCGCGGCGCATTTCAGCTACCGCTCATTTCAGCACCGCGTTTCTTTTTCCAGTCAAAAGCATTTCTGTCATAATCCTCTGACAACAGCCCTTTTTCCGGGAGGGAGGTATCATCTTGCTAAAGTTTTATACATTTAAAGTTCAACCCCTTTTCCTTGCGCGTTTCTTTGTAGGGAGAAGCAGAAGTTCTAACCATCTTCCCGTAGCATCTGGCTTTTTTTGTGAAGAGGAGGTAAGGTTAACGTCATGTAAAATTACCCTTTTTGTTTCTGATGTTCTACTAATCCTGCTTCGTTTCGGGAACTGTGGGTGAGTTCAGGCATACTTTCATGCATTGCAGCAGAGTACCAGAGCCGATTAATAAGCGGGAGCCATAGGACTCTTGTGCCATCAAGTGTCTAGCAAACCAACATTCTCACGACATTATGCCACAATTATATTCTTTGCAGTTTTAAAGGAGCTGTAGATAATTATTCAAGATATTGGAACATTTAGTTTATCATTCTATTGCTTTGGTTGTCACCTTCACTTTATATCAACTTTGAGGCTCATTTCTCAAGGATGTCTCTATTTTCTGCTTTATTTGCACATTGATAGCTAGACTGAATGACTAGTCACAGCAACTTTTAACTCCCATAGAAGGAAGCATACTAAATTGTGAAAGCTTAAGACTAATCTGCTTTGCAGGACTTTTAAGCCCTTTGATTGAAGGGAAATAAGAAGTTTGTTTTGAGACACTTGTTTACGTAGGTCTGCCAATTTTTATAACAAATGTGTGGGGCTTCAGGATTCATTTGCTGCTTTTCATTTTTACTGCATTTGAAGGTATGGATAAATTCTTGGTATCAGGTGTTTGCTTTGCAGCTGCCAATGAAATGATGTAAGTGCAAGTCGATATTAAAATTCTGTAATTGCTATATTTTTTATCGTAATTCCTTGGAAGCTAAACCATTAATGCGATAGAAGAAACATTAGCATTAAGTTCTTACCTAATGATGAGTAGGATTTGCAGGCTGGTTGTGCACTCTTTATTTAAATTAAAGGCTTGTGACTTTAAATTCGGCTTATATAAATACATAATTAAAGTCATTATTTCTATAGCCTTCAGTCTTCTGGGCTGGTCCTGTAAAGCTATTTTAAATGGTCTTTGCTTACTCTAGTAGTAGAGCTCCAATAGGGTTTTTGACACAAGGAGAACCTGCATTTGAGATGACTGCACAAAATGTGGTAACCCTAAGTGTAGCAGTATTTGAACTTGCATATTAGTTTTTCTACATTGGTTCCATTTGCATAATTTCATTTAGATTTTGCAAACGTATGTGGTACAGCATAAAATAGCTTAATAAATTAGCTCAGAAACATAGAATAGGGATCATCTGTGAATATTGTCTTTATGGGAGGGGAAAAAAGATGCAGGGTGATCTTGAATGTAACAGTAAGTTGCATTTTTAAAGTACAGCCATTGGTGGGCTCTGTGTTTTGTTTGCAGGTGGCTTGTAGTGGATGGAGTTAAACTTGGGTATCTTAGGTATGTTACACCTTAACTTAATTACTTCAATAGCTACTTTCTGATGAAACATTAAAATATAACGACCCTGCTTTTATTGCAGTCTTTAAAGATCTAATCATTCTGGTGTGCATCTGAGACGTAAAACTTAGTGCAAAGAGAGGCAACAGATTGGTTCCATCATACTATTTTGCTGGGGTTTTTTGAGAGTACTTAAAAGATTATGATGGATAATGCTGTCTTGCCAAAGAATGCCGACACAGGTGTTCATCATTATCTTAATTAAGATCCTGAGAAAATGTCATCTTTCGGCATGAATTATGAAGGGAGATGCATTAGGAGATCATTTCAACTCCTTTTTTTTCTTTTTACAGGAGTAGATGAGAAGGAGGCTGTTTTCTCAAAACCTGTTTAACATTTCTTTATAAGAATGCCTGTGCTTAGACACTTACTTAGTAATTTGTTTATCTGCTTCAATTTATGAATATATTACCAAGATGTCATGTATGTGATGTTAAAGGGAATCCTCTTTAAAAAAAGACCAAAACAACGAAAGATAATCCACTTCCGTCTGTTGTGTTTAAAAGTGTCCGTGTAAACAAAACTCTAAGACTCAGATGGCAGTGGAAACTGCTGCTGAAAACATCTGCTAAGAGACGTTTTATACAGTATATTTAAAAGTATTAACAACTCAGAGCAAAATAAATACATGTGACTGTGCATCTTTTTAATTAAGCATGAAGAGAAAAAGATTTCCCTTTCTCACCTTTGCCCTACAATGGAAGTAAAACTAATTACAAGTGAAGAGGAGGGAGTGGCTTGTGTTTTTCTATGTTAAATCAATACATTATTAGCTGAGCAAGAACTAAAACAGTGCATCTAAAATACTGGCTGAAGCACTGTCAGTAAAACTTAGAGCCGCTTTCCTGCAGGTACCTTCTCATCTGCACGTTGCTGCTGGCTATACCAGGATGAAGTGCTGGGAATTACAGGGCCAGTCTGTGCAGTGGAAGTGCTGGTGGCTTTTAGCCTATGTGAATGATCTTGGGCAGAGCTCTGCAAGACACCCTTGGCTACTCTGTTCTTTCTTCTGCCTGCATTTATTATTTGTTACTATTCTCTGTTCAGTCTGAGACCAAGGTATAAGCTCACAAACACTTAGAATAACTCTTCTGTGTTTAGCAATTGGGTATTAGGGAGCTTAGGTAGACTTTTTTGGTTGGTTTTGGTTTTTTGATTTTGTTGTTTTGTTTTGTTGTTGTTGTTTCTCCCAGCAAGCCTTTCTATGTAAAATCACTTTTTTTCCTTCTTTTTTTTTTTTCCTGCAAAAAGGAACCTGATTATCAGTCTGAGTTCTTTTTTTAAATTGCATCAGCAAACCTGTATAGTATGTAGGATAAAACCATACACAGAAGCACAGCTGGCAGGTCTTTTAAGCACCTAGTTATTGTACTGAACTTGTAACTCTAAAGACCTTGACAATATCATGGGAGAACCGGAAAAGGTATTTCACTTTTCTTGTAGTTTCCTGTAATTAACTTAAATGGCACAATTTGCTTGAATTTGTTGGCATAATATGGACTAAGTTAAGAATGTCTTTAGGGTTTATTTTGCTTAAAGTTCCATGGCCATATGTAGAAAATAGACTCTCCTAATGGTTGACTTTAGTGGAAAAAATTAAAAACTGCTCTCTTTCATGTCTAAGCAAGTTTCTCACTTAAAGGAAGCCACATCTACTGTTGGCTCCTTATTGTGAAAGAGGAGCACCTCAGCAGGAAGGATGGCTGTGGCCACCCATGCCATTCCGTAGGACATGCATGTGCCTGTAGCTTTTCATACAGTGGCACACTCCCTTTCAACTGCAGGTGCTGTAGCGTGATGGGAGCTCCCGTAGGTAGAATGTGATCTCCAGTGTGGGTGTTAAAGGTGGGTGACTTTAAATAGCAGTGTTATGTAAAAAGGGGTTTGTGTTTTATCTTACGTTACTTACATATATTTTCAGTCCTTATGACCAGTGTTTGTGAGAGCTCAGCATTACCTCTCTGAGGAGACATGTAAAGGTGGGTAGCCTTCGCAGCCTTACACCCAAAGAATTTTTGTTTTAACAGCTCATAATTTCTGATTTTTATTAGAGTTTCTTCATTTCTGTCTCTTAATGTGGATAATAAAGATACAAGTGACTCTTGAAGCTGCTTTCTGCAGATTAAGGTGAATGTATTTGTAAAGCCAGAATAATATTTTAATATTTTTTAAGTATATATCATTGGGAAAAAAAGCAAGCCAGTCAGACCTTTCAAGGTGAATGCAGATCATCATAAGTTTACTATACTAACAAACTTGTGACTGATGGCTCTCCTACTTCTCCATAAGGAGATGCTTCTTCCTAAGCTATTTTTTTCCCAGCAGAGCAAAACCTATCTTTTTCTTTCCATAAGCACAGCTTTTTCACAGTATTTCTCAGCATTTCTATCACAGATAAAGAACCCAACATTTACTTCTGAAATATTCTCTGCTGACATCCACGGAACTTTTTGTGCCCTTCAGGTTTAATTTTGTCTAGAATAATGAGTGGTATATTATGTAGGTCCTGTTTTCAGTTAAGCTGTATTAGGTAACTATGCTCTTCTTTCATATCCCATAGCAAAGTATCAATACCCAGATGGCAGTGTTTTGGGATAAAATAGCTACAGGCTTGGCTGCTACTGTAAAGCCAAGCTAACATTTTAGCCTGTGTGATAAATAAAACTGAGGTTGAGACTCTTGGCGTATTGGAGTTGCACTAAATAATGCTACAGTGCTGTTTATTACTGGTTTCATTGGATAATATGCTGCTATAAAACCTGCTTGAAGCTTTTATTAAGAGTACTCTGTCATTATAAAAAGGTGCCTACAACTTCTTTATGATATTGACGGTGCAGGAATTACTTTGTTTGTGCTGACTTCCTGGCTGTTGTCTGGGGAGGGCTTTACCCTCTCCCACCTTATGTAGGTATTAGAATCCATAAATGCCTCCTGGGAAGAGAACGGCTCTGTAGAGCCTAGGGTTCAAAAGGTATTTTAAAGGTATTTTTTTTCTCTTTGCTTTTTCTGAAGTTTATTTCAGTTTTTAATTTCTTGCTTCAGTTAAAATTCAGGTGATGTTCTCTGTGGCATAAACCATGCTAACTGTGTCCCTAAGTAAAATTTAACCTTAGCCCACCCAGATGGCTGTCTGAGAGGAGGCTGCAAAAGGGCCGAGAGACTTTTGTACTGGGTAAGATGATGGGAAGGCGTGGTAGTAGGGAAGGATCTAGGAATCTTGAATCCCAGACTTGTTTTCTTGTTCAGTTTCTGGCACTTTCTGGCCCAAATCTGTTCCTGTAACCTTGGTGCCTCTGTTTACCGAACTACAACCCTCTGCTTTTCTCAGAAATGTTCAGATTTAAATTGGCTAGACTGTTTTGCTTTTGAGCAAAAGCAAATTATTAATGCTATTACTCGTTTGTTAGCTAAATTCCATTAAATTTCCACATTTCACAGATCTTTGATGCCCATAGGCACCTGTTTGTGGTGCATCTCTCCAAAAACGCAGAACTGAACTCGAACTAGTGGGATGTGGTACTGTGGGATTTAACAAAAATGATAGATCAATGAGTGAAGAAGCCCTTGCATTGTTCAGTCTGTAATCCTCATTTGTGAGAGAAACTTGCTATCTAAGTTAGTGACAAATACTCTCTTTTTGTTCTGTTTTCTTGTTCTCCATATATCCACTTTTTACCTTTGTAGGTTGCACTCAAGCAGAAGCAGCAAGGTCCACGATGGGAAAAATGAACCCAGCTGTCCCTCCTAGCTTGTACCTGCCTGAGTGCAGAAAGAAACCTCATACAAAGCAAGAATGCATTTGGGCTTGTGGCTCTTTTTAACCATATTTAATCCAATTCAGAGTTAATGGTAAGTAATTTGTTTTGTGTACGCTAAGATTCCTTAAGTAAGGCATTACAGTAGTGGCACTTTCCTTTGTAGTTATTGGGTTCTTACAGAATGCATAAGTAATGTTTCCAGATACGTTAGCTTCAGTCCCATTTCTGTTAAGAAAATCATTTGGTGCAGATGACAAGCATTGTAACAATTGTTTTTCTTTCTTTTTCATCCTATCTAGGTGAGCTCAGTGAAATGGTTTAAGCATTGCTGAAGAAGGGAAGATCAGACTTGGCAGGCAGGAGCTATTTCAAAGCAAGATTCTTCTTTCTGTAACAAACATGGAAACTTTACAAACTTCATTAGGTAGAGTATTGATAATAGTATAATACCAATAGTACTGCATGATGTAATACTGCAGTGCTTCATTGTTCAGTGATCATCTGCAGCTGCATTAAATAAACGTACATACACTAGTGGCTTAAATGAATATTATGAGTGAGAGCAGTAAATCAGAAAGGCAGATACTAGAGGAAATGCTACTAGATTTTTTTAAGCCAGTGGTTTTTTTTCAGCTCTTTCCATAACCTTTAGGTCTTTTGTTTCTTGACAAAGACAAAATGAAGAAAAGTACCTTTTCATTCAAGAAATTGAAGTTAGTTCAACTTCTTAACCAGAAAGACTTCACAGTTCTCTTAGCTGCTGCAATATCTTAATGCTTTGTCCATCAGAAAATAGCACTTGTAGTGCTGACCCATGGACATAAGCATCTGTAGTGCCACAGCATGTGCTGCTCTTTCTTCTTAGGGCTTCCCTTGTCAGAGCAGTTGTGAAATGTCTGGTGTGGCACAGCCCTCTGAGACCTCTTGCATCTAAGTATGGAATCTGGGAGTCTTTCTATCTGGAACTTGGGGGAGCGCCCTCCTGAGCCGAGTAGTTCTCAAATATTGCAAGAAAGCATCTGACAGTGTTGTCTGGAAGATGTGACAGGCTTAACTATTAACCTTTATTAAGTGCCTTACAATGGAGGGGAAGAGTCATTGCCTTCATTTTTACAAATCGGAGAGCTGGCAAATAGGAAGAATGGATCTCTACTATCTTCTGTGATTTTTGACGCAACTAATTAGGTGATTGTCATGAGATATAATAACCTGGCTCAGGGGAATGGCAGTGGGGAAGGATGCTGATATGTTCAGTATGGCACACTGCTTGTCCCTCCAGAAAGGCTTAATGTAGTAAGCAGGGTCTTCCCTCTGCAATGGTTGGCCAGTGAGGAGATTTAAAAGGGTTGATGAGCCTGAGGCTGTCTCTCCATCAGATAGCTTCATTATAGATCTCATCCAGGAAGAAATGAGGTACTGCAACTCGTTTCTAGGAGCTACTCTTGTTTTTAACAATTACTCACTCTCTGCCTCCTCCTGCTTTCTTTCACAGTAGAGTGGCCTTTCCCCAGAATAAGCTGATTCACTTCACGGCTGGCATTTGCAGTTTTCCTGCACTTAGTTAGCCTTTCAGGCAGGAATGGTTTCTTCTGGGCTAGGAATTTAGTTTCTCTTTCTTTTAATAGTTTATTTTGCTAAGAATCAGAATCTGTCCAGCTGTTAAAAACAGTAGTGGTTTTGATGTGCATCAGTAAAGAATTAGAGATGTGTGTTTTCCATATAGAAGATAAAAGAGTCTTAAAGCCTGCTTTAAAGGAAGGTAAACCTTGGAGAGGTTTACTTGGGTGTACAGTATCCCCTATTCTTTCATTTTTAAAAAAAGTATTAAGGGATTTTTATTTTTTTTTCCAAGAAAAGAGAAAATAATCTAATCTTTTTGATTGCATTTTTTCCTTAGTCTCACAGTTGTGAGATAAATGTTCAGAAATATGAGTTGGTAAGGTTAATGTGATTAAAATGAATATGTGATAACGGGTTCTGCATGTTAAAGATTAAGAGCTCAAGTTAGACTCTGGAGTGAAACACTCCATGAGCATTTGGGAATTTGGTTTGTGCAAAGAGTGCAGGCTTAGGCCCACAGTTGCAGTTGAACACTTTCATCCCGTCTGCTGCTTTTTTGTCTTGACTGATCTGCACACAAGTCTCTCAAACACTGTAGTGTCAGGGTAAAAATATAATGTGGGGTTAGGTGGGGTGACAAATGAGGAAATAATTTCAGGCCAAAAAATTGTAAATCTGTAAATATAGGTTAGTTTTACACAAATTATTCACATTTACAAAGATCAGTTTATAGCATTTTGACTGCACAGTAGTTAATCCTTTATGTATGAATTGATCCTTTATACAGATGTAATTCCATATACAACAGTTAATCTCTTTGAGTGCAAGTTGAAAATATATTATAAATTAATTTATGTAGGTTATGACTTTATGCAGTACTTCAATGTGGTTACCTGCGCTAAAGTTGAGTCTGTATGTGCTTAATGAAAATTAGATGTGAAATGTAATATGTAGAGGACAAAGAAGCATTGAAATAGTTATTGCTCTTAAAAAGACAAAGATACCTCAGATGATTCTCCTTTCTTAATCTCTTGAGAATTTGATGCGTAGTTCTGTTGTGAGCAGCTTGGAGTGAACAAACTGGAAATATTTTAGAAGCAGAGTTAGTACTGGATATTACTGCTCAACTTTTTTGAAGCCTACTTTTCATCTAAAACGCTTTTCTTTTTAAGAAGCTAATTTATAGATGGTCTTCCATTGGGCAAGCAAAGCATCTTGAACTTTGGTGAAGAGACAAGCCTAGCTATTAGATCTGTGAAATTTGCTAATGTTGCAACCATTTAAATCAAGTGTTTGTTTACATAACAGCAGTGGTATTTCTCTTCCTCTTCCTTGTGATTTTGTCCAACTAAATGTTATGAGTGGTAGTTGCAGTGACTGCTAAGTGTTTAAATGATGACACCATTATGTGAAGTGATTTTTGAAATGAGAGCTTCCAGCCAAGAATTACATCTGCTCTCATCTCCTTCAAATCATACTCTCTGGCTGTGCAGATTATGATTGATTTGTTTGTGACAGATTGCAGGAAACAGTCATTGATTTTTCAGTATTTTACCTTAAAATTATTTACAGTTGTAACCAAGGGGACGTATTTCCATGGGCTGTCAGCCCCTGAAAGACTGGGATAATATTCCCTGCTCCCTGACAAGACAAATTACCCGTAATGAGTGCAGTAGCTGAAGGGTATACTTTTATTTTAAAATATGTCAATAACCCCAGTGACTAAACGAATATTGATTCAGCATAATGAAGCCTGAGTAATGTGAAAATGAGCTCTTCAAGGAGCATGGTAAAGACTTTCTTTTTAGCTTGTAGCAAGAAGCTTTTCATTCTTTACTGTTAGGTAGTTGAAACGTGCAGTCTTAAACAAGTCATCATTAAGCAGTAGTAATATGCAGAGTAACATAAGAATAGAACTTGGGGTGGGTTTTTTTTTTTCTTTTTTGTTTCTTTCCCCTCCACCCCAAGTTCTTTTTCTTCAATGTGTTTCAGCAAATTAGATATTTAAAGAGAAAAATGCAAGTTATCCAGGGCAGAGACAGAATTACTACTGGGGTTAATGTCTTTTGCAGTAGTATTTTTCAGCCAGCTTAATTGGCATTATTGAAGTGTATTCTGCATATATGGCCATGGAAAGTATTTAAATAAACTGTAGATTTAATTTCGTACTATTGATTTCTTGGACATACTGATGTGTATTCTATGTGATCAGTCCAATATTCTTGTCCTTTAACAATTTAGAATAGCTGGCTTATGAGAACCTAGATATACTGTGTTATAAAACTCAGTTACCATACTGCATATTTTTCTTTCCAGTGTCTTGTAACACTGCATGTTTCTTACCAAATGAGAATTTCAAGTAGTAATTCATTTAAATTACAGTAATTTATGCAGTGCCATAGGTGTGGTGTGGAAAAGCATCTAATAGATTAATATGGATGTACTTCAATTGTTTAGGGTAAGGATTAGATTAAAGACCATGTTGAGGTACAATTTTTTTTAACATTAAAAATATTGACACAAAAAAAGACCCCTATCATCTGAAATTATCAGTTTGCCATTTGTATTCAAGAGCATCGTGCAGCACTGGGAAGGCTGTGCAAAAGCACTGGGTATAAATAGCTATGTAATCCAGACATACACAGAAGGATATTTTCTTGAGGTGTTTGTGTATAATGTGTCAATTATGAAATAATGTCATAGCCAGAAGCATTTAGTGAGCATGTTTGGTCACAAAGATGACTTCCCTTATTTTCTGAGGGCTGACTTCAATTGCATCCAGCTAGCTTGTGAAAATCTTCAGAAGGATGTTTTCCTATCAGCACACAGGTGATTTTTTCCAAATGTCATTCTTTTAGCACCACTAGAAAGTATTTCAGGAGACACTAGAGAACCTGTGGCACTGAGAGTTAAATGGCAACCCTGGAATGGGAGATATGTTACTGGTTTTAATTTGTTAGTTTTCAAAAAAAAATGTGATGTACATTTGAGCAGGTTGCAACTGTAAATAATTGTAGGTTTGAGAGGGGGTTTTGTGCAGAACATCTGGGATTCACATAATACTGGAGAACTGTTAACAGTAAGGGAGTAATAACCTCAAATACACAGCAGTGACAACAGGAGAATTTGGGGCTCTTGTTAAATGTTACCCATTGAACCTTAATTTCCTGCTCAGTGGTATTTTACACATCCAAAAGTCTCTGCCTGCTCTCTTTGTTTCTGTGCCTTTTGTTTCTTTGGCCAACAGCAGGAGATGGGAAGGGAAGGTCCCTTTTGGTAGCTTTCTCACAGTAGTGAGGAAGAGGGAGACTGTTCAGGGCTGAGTGCCAGTTCTGATGCAGACTGAAGGGCAAATAAATGTTTGTTTTGACTACAACTCCTTTTCCTGAGTAACACTGCATGGTACCAAATTGAACAAAAGCAGATACTGCTGAAGAGACAGCTGACAGCTAAACCAAAGTGGTCTCTGCTTGCAAGCCATTTGCTTCTTTCACTTGCAACACATGTAATATCTCTTGCATTGCTTTTTTTCCCCAAAAACAAGTTTGCTTATTAAATACCTGCCTGCCTGGCATTCTGGTTTGGGGCTCAATTGAACTGTGTACTTGGCAACACAGCAAATGGTGTGGTTTTGGCTGCAGGAAGCTGACAAATGGCTTGCAAGCTCTGTGGGTGATACTGGAGATTGCTGGTGGTGGTACCTCAAAAGCTCTTAAGGTTATTCACACATCTCTCTTTTACTGTTAGAACTGCTACAATTTCTAGTTCCCTTTTAGGTGACTATGGAGAAGAAAAAACCCAACAAAACAAACAACAATCCCAAATAATTAATCAGTTAAAAGTTCTTGTGGCATTTGGGATCTCCTGGGAACAGAACATAAACCCAATAGCTGCTGAGTTAGGTAAAAATAAAAGCAGAAAACACTGAAATAAAGGTCACAGATAAGAACAGAGTAATCTCCTCTGTGGCAGAGAAGAGGCTGTTGGTAAATCATGAAGGGCTAATGTTTGGGGGTCCCTTGACACTTGGGGACCTGCAGGTTTTGACCCACTTCATTTCAGGTCTGACATGAAGACAGTCATGTCTTCATGGTGATTTTTCCAAATGTCATTCCTTTAGCATCACCAGAGAGTATATTGGTATGTTGTTGTAGTAGGAAGGTGGTGCAGTGTTAACGGTGTGGGTGATTTTGTGTAGCAGTTCAGATCTGTATACCTATTTAATGTTCAGATTTCACTATGAATAAGGTGGCAACCAAAGCTGATAGTTGATTTGACTTTCTTTTATATTTATTCTGCCTCAGTGTTTTGTGCTGTACAGATAAACTGTAAACTTGTTTTAGTTTATTGAAGGGGTATTGGAGGGAGAAGGGTGTGTAAATGTAGGTATGGAAATTGTGCTTACTGGCTAAACCTTGTTCCTCCCAATTTGTTTGTTTGAAATCTAAGAACTAGTATGTGATGGAACTTGAATCGAGAATTCATTTAAGTGGGCAGACAGGGGAATTTAAAATTCACTAATATAAATGTCATGGTTAGTTGAAGCTCTGTGCTCTACACATGTTGAAGTTGTTTCTTTTTGTTTAATTTATGAAATTGCTTATGAAATTGCTTTTATCGAAAGCAATTTGATAAATTGCATATATTTTAATTTTATAAATTGCATATATATTCCATATATGCAGAACATTCACATTTTCTTGGAATGACCACATTATGTACTAAAAGCTCCCACTAAATTGAGATAGTGTCGTTAAAGTCTTCTGTATGGTGATTCATGGTGAACTGTTAGAGAGAGGTAACCCTAAAAAAATATGTGGAGGATCCAGGATGCTTTGAAAGTCTTACCTAACTGCAGTGGTTAAAAAGGCATGGCTGGCTTAATGCATCAGAGTTTAAATCTGTATCTGGGATTATGGAAACAAGTTGAGAAACATGAACTGAATTGATTGTTTATTATTTTCCTTTGTAAATGAAGACAGAAGTTGTAGTGTTCTGCTGTGGCCTTTAAGGAAGGTCCACAGTGTCTTAGTTTTATTAACTTATCTTTTAGTATCAAGTGTCATTCCCAAAATGAAGTAATGTCCTTGGGCTGGTGGCAACAGCTGGAGTTGCAGAATTCATAAATAATTCAGAGGAGGGATAAAGGGTAAAGGATTTTTATTATTTATTCTTTTTTGTCATTTGAATCTTTATTCTATGCATATATTTCATTTCAGATATGGTATCATCTGAATTCATTCAGTATGATGACTGCACTGACCTGTCATATTTATTTTGATATCCCTTCGAAGGACCATATGCTCTGTCCTCAGCAGGAAAAAGGATGTAAGATGCTAACCAAAAAGGCAGCTACATTCCTATAGGGATGAAGACCATCGCTTCCTGTTGTCATGTCAGTAGATGTGCAGCTGCAGCGCAGTTGTTAAGTCAGGGCTGTGACTATAAATTGCAGTGTAGTCTAGTGAAAGGTGGAGGAAAGGGCAAACCCCCTTTGCATCAAGGTGGTGTATGGCATTGAAAGCTCAGCTGTCACTGAGGCCAGTTGGTGTGAAGAACCTGCCATGTGGAAGATGAAGAAGATTAAAGCCAGCTAGAAATCTGCCAAGGTGGAGGTTTGCCATGGTAGCTTTAATATGGGAATACAATTAATTACTTAGCATGTTGGAAGTGGGGTTGCCATGCACACAGCTTTCCAGGTATGCGAGTTAGTCTAGTTGTGCAAGGCTCAGGTTTTTTTCTTTCACTAATCCATGCCCTCCTTTCATCTTAAAGAAGCTGCTTGCGTAGCCCAGCAAATCTCAGATGTTTCCTGGGAAAACACATAGTTGTAGTTTTCCTCTTTGCTAATTCTGTTTAATTGTTGCATCTGGTCCTTCATTGAATTTGGTGATACGTTTCTGTGAACAAGTTGTGTATTTTCTAGAAGTTACAGAGAAATCCACTGCTTTCAATTTCAACCATGTTCCATAAGTAATGAACTGCATGGTATCTGATTTTTCTGGCTAATGCACTGGCTAGTGTTTGCAGTTCTAGTTGGTGGATAACAGGTCCTTGTTATAGTTACCTTTGTATGGAGTATTAATGTGATAGGATGCAACCACTACAATATTTTTATGGTATTAGGTGTAATTGCAGCAGTGAGTGGTGATTTGTATGAAGTACATGGTCCATTGGGTTCATGCCAGTGGCAGAAGAAAGCCAATTAAGTGCAGGTTAGTGAAATGCAGTAACTAGAAGCTGTGAATGTGAATGATAACTATGCAAAACTGTTTCTTTTCTAGATCCTGCCATCAATGACTGAGCTTCCCTGAAATCTTCTTATCAGTTACTGCCAAGATGAGAAGGATAACAGGAAGGAGGAGTGCTTAAGTGGTTTTAATGACAGTTAATTTCATCTATTTATCAAATGACAGGTTGTCTTTTTTCCTCAAAACTTGATTGTCATGACAAAATGCTTTTGGAAGTCATCTGTGTAAAATAAAACTGACAATTTTGGGGCCACAAAGAGCTATTGTGTCTTTCTATACAATGTTGTCATTATGGTAAACCGCTGGAAAGTCTTTATTTTTGAAGTGATTTAACTTGCGTACTTCATTCATTTATTTGAATGTCTGTTGAATACCATGTGAAAAGTTTCTTGCCAGAGTTCTTTTATTCAATGGAATAGTTACTCTTACAATGTTCAATTTATTATTGTCTAAATTACTGTTGCCTTAGCCTCCTGCAAAATGTTTCTTTTTAGTAATTCTTAAGCAAATAAGGAATGAATGAGGTTTTGTCCCCTTCATGTTTTGATCAGCGTATTTTTTCCTTTCAGTGAAAGCATCTTCAGTTTTCAGAATGACAGTATTACAAAGAAAGGTGCTTTGCTTTCTTTTATTTTCTTTTCTTTTTCCCAACAGAAAATGTGTTTTGTGCAATGATTTTTTTTTTTTTTTTTAATATGTAGACTGCCAAGACACAGTTACTGGAAGGAGAACCAGAAGCTGTTGGGAATGCCATGTTATGCCAAATTAAGAATTATTAGCTCTTACTTTCTGTGCAGTCTCTTTGACTAGAACTCAACCTATTGCATCTGGCTTATACTTTGACTCTGGTGGAACTAATGTGTCCTTGGAGTAGCATTTTAGAGTAACTTCAGATTCATGTTTTTTTTTCTCAAGTCTGCTTTAAACTGCTGGAATTAACTTCAGAGAAGGCAAGAGATACAGCTTCCTATGTCAGCAGCTGTGCTGGCTAAAGGAGGAGGCTTCATGCACGCTTGCTTGCTCACTGTCTCCCAGAGGTTATTGCCCCTGCTGTGGAAGCAAGCTAAACTGTTTCCCTGAGCACACCCCAGCTTAGTTCAGCCAGAGTTAATCGTGTTATCAAATGTTAGTTAACTAGCACCCTGGGCCTTTTTGATGAAAGGGCAGAGAATGCACAGACTAACTGCACAGCCAGCCTGTCTGGGAAGGGTGATGTGTTGTCAAGAGGGTTCTTGAGGAGCTGGTCTTGGTGTAGTCTTTTCAGCAGGTGCAGTTACGTTGATAAGATGTGGTAAAAATTGTACGTGCTAGAAAGCTGTGCAGCTCTGTTATGTATAATATTCATATTTCAGGAACAGAGTGAATGGTATAAAATAAACCTTTGCTCTTTGACTTACCCCTTGTGCCTGCCAATTAGAGTGGAGAGAAATGGTGTGAGTGCATGTACATGACAGGACACCTATTTAAGGGAAATGTATCTGGTGAAGGTGTGTGAATGGTGCAAAAGTTTCCATTATGTAGGGAGCACACTGTTGTGCTTTACACATACAAGAGGCTGCCTTTACCAGCACCTGCCTTAGAAGAATTGTTTTCGACACATGGTGTCCTGAGCTGCCCTTAGTGAAGAGGGGCAACATATCCTGCTGGAGAGACCCCCCCATCCACTGCTGCTTCTCTGTCCAACATTGCATCAGTAGATGCTGGCCTGTGGTGAGCTCTTGATGTCCCCCATGCCAAAAGCAGAACAGTACAGATGATCTCTAGTTAAAACCAGTGCACTAAAAACCAGTGCTCCTTCAACACTGAGCCTTTTTGCAAGACGGCTGTGGAGTGTATGTGCCTTCTCACAAATGGCTTGGGCATACAAAGAACAAGAGGCTTTCTGATCTGTCGGGAACCTGAGAGCAGTAACACTGCTTGTGTCTCCTCTTGGGGCACAGCTAGATGAAAATAACTTTGTTCCAAAGAAAGGACTGAACCTCCAGCTCGGTTGGCATTGCATCCAGAATCTTTTAACTGGCCTCTCATTTGCCGTATGTAGGTGAGGAAAACAATGTACTATCTCTGGAGGGGAACTGATGTGTAAGGGAAAGGTGCTCATTTGCAGGCAGAGAACTTTATTTATGCTCATTTATCCTCAGCAGCACTGCCATATTACAATGCCTTCAGACTCAAGCCTGCTTCTGCCTTTCCCTGAACTATGGGTCTGAAAAATAGTGACATGAGGCAAAGAGGCATGGTGGTTTTGGGATTCAGGCTTGCAAAGAGATCTTGCAATGGGCACAAATTTAGAAGTCGCTACCATTTTTAAATCATATGTAAAAATTAAGTATATACAATACGAGAGAGTGTGAAACCTAGTGCTTTTCTGCCAAGTTTTGGGTTAACCTGTCGATATACTGCTATATGTTTTGAAGAAAATGGACTCTCCAGTCAAACTCTTTTTTAGCCTTGTTAGCTTATGCTTGCAGTGCAGTGCTTCACGCTTGCATAGTTAAGGAGGCAAAGCTCTGATCACATAGTTTCCAAATCCTCCTGTTGCCCCTGATCAAATCTCTGCAGTTCTATAGTGAAGTGGATGCAGCTCCATGTGTGAGAGCTGTGCTCTGGCTGGGGATCGATATCCATGGCAAGCTCAGAAGTGAGGTACCTCCTCCAAAGGATGGTCAGATGGCTCCTCTGTCCATGAATTAAATGAAAACTAAATGAAACAAGCCTCCACAGCTCTTGGAGACAGTCCATAATTTGTATTATTTTATCTTAATCTGGACTATTGTAGTGCCAAGGTTAAAATATTTAATGAATTGCGTGTGATTGCCTAATAATTTTGCCTGTTTAAGTGGTAATACATAATTAAGCCAGTATTGCAAAATAACAGCTGTATGGATATAAAATAACATGGATATGTTATGCCGATGAATAAAATTTTACGTCCAAGCATTTAAAATGATTAAATACTATAGTTAAGACTGTCATACTGTTTATCTAGTGTCAAAATGAAAACAAAACACCGCTTCAGAGGGCGCAGATTTTTTTTTTTGCTTATAAAGACTCCAAATAATAGGTTGGTTTCAACTAGACTTCCTGGCTCTTCAGTGATTGCTGTGCTCAGCTGAATCTATCAGGATCCCGTGCATGATCGTGTTTATTGTTTTAAACACATGATTTCTGTGGATGTTTTCCACAAATATGTGGGAGAAAACACAGTTTACCTTCTTAAGTGGTACTACACCGTTACTTTCTAACTCCTTTAATTTCAGTTCAAACTTGGCTGAATAAAATGTGAATTCCTGAAAGTAATCTTTACATCTGTAATGCAACAACTGATTTGATATGACTGTTTTCATACTCCAGACATAGCAAAACATTTTCAAGGCAGTATGTGTTGACAATATACAGAGATAAAAATCAGTTGATGACAAACTCCAAGGCACAAACTTTTAATAAAGAGCAGTGAATCATTAAACAGGAATAGTAGATTTTCTGTCTTTTGAAGGAAGATTAAATGTTTTTGCAGAGGTATAGGCTTGAACAAATGGCTGGGTGGGGTAGAGGAATTCCTCACTGGCTTCTGTGGCTTTTGCTACACCTGGGGTCAGACTGGGTCATCTTAGACATCCTTTTGGCTGGGAAGAGAGGCAGGCATCTCACTGTAACAAATATCTTCACAGCCTAGCAGCCTCCACTGAAAAGTTAGTCAAAGTTACTTACATTTATCTTTAGAAAAAGATTGGTGTGGGGGGAATTGCTTAACTGCTAATTTGGCAAGGTTCCTGTCTTCTAACACCATGCCTTTTTCAAAGATCCTCTTTCACCTGACTGCTTGGTTCTGCAGTGTTACCTTTCATCACCTTCAGTTGGGTTTCTCTCATTCACATACCCACTTCCCTCCAAAATTAATCAAACAAGCACATGAACATTTTTTTTACAAAGCAAATGTCTTCTACAAAGTGTGTACGTCTATGAAGTGTAATGTTGCCTTGCTGCTAGAAAATATTATTAGGTTTAAAATAATCTGTCAGCATCCTGCTGTGTATAAATTAGGTTTGCTCTCTACTCAGATTAGTTAGCTGGCACCCATTCATGAGCATGTTACAAAAAAAATGATTGCAAGTTGATCGCATCCGGTAATCTGCCTGTTTTCTTTTTAATGGGCTTTTTGTTGCTGTGCTGTCACCAAGGCTGAAATAAATGCATGCAAGTTGTGAGTTTCCAAGCTCTTTGCAGCCTGGGGAGATGATGTTGGCTCTCCTGTATCATTAAAAGGCTTGGGGGCATGAGAATTTGGAGAAAGGGAGAGGTTGTCTGCACTTAGCTTTCTGGATCTTGTGCACCTTTGTTTTTGGCTAACAGGGATGTTTTCTGCAACATGGCAAGCAGTATGTTACTCCTGAAGTCCAAAATGCCAGGTATATTTAGTTCACGTGCTTGAATAGGTGGTGTGATTTTTTTAACTTGCATGTACTAGCCTGTTTTCATGCAGAAGTTTTTGCATATATTTTATGTGGGAAGAATGCTGTGTGAATTAGAAAAAGCAGAAAAATTAACTAAAGCTAGTGTTAAAGATTTAAAAAATAACCATGAGGTCTTTGTTTCTTTATTTACAATTGATTAGGGTTTGAGTTTTAAAAGCTTAATGCTGACTGTAAATGCTTTACAGTCACTCAGTGAGAATTATGGGCTTGGTGTGACTCACGTTTTTGTCCTTGAGTATATCCATTATTGTTAGACGCTGAGTAGTCATTGCACATAGATGACCGATTTTGGGGGTATTTTACATTTTTACATGTTCAGAAAAATACTTCGTTAAAGCAGCTGCTGGGTGAATGGGGTAATTAAAGAACTGCACTGCTTTTATTGAAGTTGACGCATGCTGCACATTTCTTAAAACTCAGTGTGTGAGCAGAATGTTTCCTGGATTTATTCAAGTCAGACACCTAGAGATACTGGGGAGCTTTTAATAGTAGTAAAGATATATGCTGTTACATAAATCTGGCTCTAAGAAGAGAGCCATTACTACAATACTTTGGCTCATGTTCTGCCTATTTTGTGCATGCGTGTGTTTTATATATGCACACACACACCTGCACACAAATGTTTAAGACTTGAGCACTTAAATTTGACAGCAATTGTATATTCTATTTAGTATTTATTTGGAAAAAATATAGTATTGTAATGCTGACAGTGAATCTTCATTTGGTTGGTGCCAGAAGAAATCTGCACTTTATTATTACTTTAAAATTTTAATTTATTAAAAAA